ATCCCTGCACCCACATGGCAGCTAAAACTGTAACTCTAGTTCTAGGGGATCTGACGCCATCTTCTGACCTCCGTGGGCATTGCACAACACACGTAGGCAATACACATACACATAAAATAAAAATAATAAATAAAATATTTTTTAAAAAAATAAATGAGATCATACTAGAACAAACAACAGTAACAAAGCCATTTTTATTATTATAATCATGGCTGTGAAATTTAATTACTTTCCTGGGGAAAGCAAGAATTCTAACATTTACTGGAATAACTGGATTGAGTAAGCAATTCAATCTTTATTTATATTTCAATCTCTTTTTTTTCTTTTTTGGACCTTTATTTTTAAAAATATTTTATTACTTTTATTTTATGTGTATGAGTGTATTGTCTGCATGTATGTTGGTGCACAAAGGTCAGAAGAGGGCATTAGATCCCCTGGAGCTGGAGTTACAGATGGCTGTTAGCTGCCATGTGGGTTCTGGGAACTGAACCTGGGTCCTCTGCAAGAGTAGCCAGTGTTGTCAACCACTGAATCATCTCTCTAGCCCTCAGTCTTTATTTTTAATCTGAGTGACCTGTAGAGACATAACAGTAATGAAGAAATGGCCAGTCATTCCATTTAATTCTGTTGCAGTTCATCTATACTTGCTTACAGTTAGAAGGTTAAGTAAATAAGAACCTTGAAAATGCTGTTTTTGCATTATACGTCTCATGGATGATCCATCTTGTATCCGTGAAAGGTTTAAACTGAAAAGAGATCTTACATGCAAGATTATGCCAAATATCCCACAGGGAAATGGTGATGCTTAAATGGAATTAATGGCATTGCTTGATGAACCCATCAAATAACCTTCTCTGGTCTGTGAAAGATGTACACGGAATACATACACGTACTTGGCACCATGCGTTTCAAAGAAGTTGATTCTAATACGTAAAGTCCATTGAATGAAGTTTCTGAATGCCAAAGAGAATTGAGTCATGCTCAGTAATTGATTATTTGAGACTTATTTGAGACTTAGAAGGACTGTGACTTTTACAAAGAGTGAATTTAGGGTGATGAGTCATCTAAAATTCACTAAACCAAGACCACAAAGAAGTCTGCAATTAAATCTTAAAATGTACTAGTGTGGAGTGCCACTATCACAATGATATTGTGCCTGTGACATTTTCATTAAAATGAATTTATTTCTCCTGGCTTTACTTTTTAATTAGTTTTAAAATTAGCATACAGAGCAATGAGATTTATTTTCATATACTGCTATTGTTGGTTCTCCATGCTCCCTTCCACCTTCTTCCCCTCCTCACGGTAGTCTCTTTCCTTCACCTGACAGCCTCTCTTCTGCTTTCATGTCTTACGTATTCTGTTGCCCACTTTTTTCTGCCCCAACCAGTGTGTTTTTTTCTCCCATCATGGTCCTGTTTCCAGTTTTATGACTCACACTCCCTGTAAGTTAGAATCTAGGATCTGCATATCAGAGAAAATGTGAGTTCGGATAATAATTTCTAGTTCCATGCCTTTTCCTGAAATGTCATTTCATTTTTCTTTTTAAAATTTATTATTTATTATTTATGTATTTATTTATTGTGTATGAGTGTTTTGTGTGCATGTATGCAAGTGTACCTATGTCATGCAACGTATGTAAGTGTGCCTATGTCATGCAAAGCCTCTGGAGGCCAGAAGAAGGTGTTGGACTACCTGAAACTGGAGTTAAGTACATGTTAACCACCATGTGATTGCTAGGAACTAAACCCGGATCTTATGCAAGAGCAGTCAGTGCTCTTAACCGCTGAGTCATCTCTACAGTCACTTCAGAGTATTCTCTACTCTACCACTGAGCTATCTCTCCAGCTCAGATTTTATTTTCTCTTTATGGCTAAATAAAATTCCACTATGTGCATGTACCACATTTTTTAATCCATTCATGTGTTGATAGACATCTAGGATGGTTCTATTTCTTAGCTGTTGTGAATAATGCAGCTATATGTGTGGATATATAAGAATCTCTGTGGTAGACTTAGAGTCCTTGTGTATGTATTCAGGAATGGTTTATTATCTTAGCCTTTTAAAAAACAATCTTAATCACCTTTATACCCTCATCCCCACTGGCACCCTCCCATACCGCCCCCCCCACCCCCAACTGAAACCCATATATTCTGTCATCCGTATTAAAGCCCACTGTGTCAAGTCACTGTCTCCAGACATTCCTCAGTGCAAGTCCATCCACTGAGGTCTATTTAGCCTATCTGTGGTCCCTTGTTTTAGGAAGATCAGCTCTTCCTCACTAGCAGTAATCAGTTGTCAATATTTCTTCAGCTAAGATTGGGTCTGTTGTCCATTTTCCTAGTTCTAGGCTGGGTTTTTTGTCTGAATTTGCATGGGACTTGTGTATGCTGACACCATTGATAGACTCATATGAGCAGGGTCCCAGGAGTTTGTAGGACTCTGTTTCCATATGGTCATGGACCTCCTCCCTGGCTCTTACAATCTCTCAATGGGAGGAAACTCAAGTGTGGTACTGTAAACATAACCAAATACACATGACTGTAGTGGTCATATATCTTAAAGAAAACCTCTAAGACTGTCACATCCCCAGACCAATGTGATTTCTTACTATGTGCAAATTATGCAACCGTATATTTACAGACAAATATCCCAGCCACCACTCATCAAGGAAACTTATTTTGCACCACTCAGAGACTATTACCTGGTACTAAACTGATCACACACAGACATTGTCTATGAATTGCCCAGGCCTAAGTGACAGATCTACAATGCAACCTCTACACGTAAGGCTCATGGAACATAGAACAGGGGTAAAGAAGAAGACACTAATGCACCTCTCAATTCTCATTAATGAAGCAACAGAGGGCCAGGAACATAAAAGGTCACAAACAGCCAAAGCATAAATATTAAGAGTCTGCAGAATGCTGGTCCTTAGGCGGGACTCCTATATTAAATAAACTTCATCCACCCAGGGCTCAGGGACCATCATAGAAAAGAAAGCAGAAAGACTGTAAGAGCCAGGGAGAAGGTGCATGACCATATCTTAGGCTTATTTTCTAAGTGAGGTGATTGTAAAATAAGCCAATGGAACTCCCTTTGGGTTATTTCTGTCTTTCTTTTTTGAGGTGTATATTGAGCCCAGGGCCTTGTGCATGGCAAGCACACATTCTGCTACTGAAATACGTCTCCACTCTTTCCCGTGTTTTTAAAAACGTGTACTGAAGAATATGCTAGAAATCCTAATTTTAGGTGCTAAAACAAATATAATTGAGAATTTATTGAACACCCTAGAAGCTTATGGGGAAACAAGCTTATTGTTTTTGTTTTTGTTTTGAAAGGAAGTTTCCCTATAGCCACAGCTGGTCTGGCACTCAGAGAGATATTTTGGCTAACATTTGATATTTATATTTGATAACATGCTTGTTCTACATTTAAGACGTAGATCAGGCTGGCCTCATATCTCACAGAGATCCACTTGCCCTTGCCTCGAGATTTCTGGGATTAAAGGTATGCACTACGTTGCCCAGCTTGTGATTTTCTTTTTGTTGTTTGCTTTTAAGACAGTTTCTGTAGTCTCAGTTAGCCTAGAACTCACTATGTAGACCAAGCTGGCCTCAATCTCATAGGGATCTGCCTTCTCTGCCTTCCAAGTGCCTGGCTCAAAGGTGTGTACCACTATGCCTGGGAAAATGTTTGGATGGAATTATCATTTAGGCTGGCATAGTGGTGCAGACCTGTAATCCCAGAACTCAAGAGGTGGGGGCAAGAGCATTAGAGGCTAACCAGGACCACACAAGACCATGTATCAAAAACCACAAAGCCAAACCAAACCACACAACAACCAATTACCACCAACAAAACTTAATAGGATACATTTGTTTTCTTTAAATATTATTTTAAAACATTTGCTGGCAGGGATCTTAAACATAATTTGGTTGTGCTCTCTTCTTCAGCTCCTGAACACCAGGTCCTAGGTATCAATGGCTCCTTCCTCCACTTCCATTCCATTGTGAAAATGTGCCCTGTCACACAGTTAGGCTATTTCTTCTCTGAAGTTAGAACTGGGGTCCCAGAGGAGAAGGAAAAGGAAGGTTAAAATTTCTGTGGATCTGTTCCATGGTATCAGCTGCTCACTGTCCTCCAACTAACTTGTTTTAATTAAATAAAAATCGCTATCAGGGCTGGCAAGATAACTCAGTGGGTAAAGGTGTCTGCTGTCAAGCCTGGAGTTCAATTCTTAGAACCCACATAGTGGAAGGAGAGAACAGTCTCCTGAAAGTTATCCTTTGTTCTCCACCATCTGATTTTCCTGTTCTGACTGGTGTGATGCTTGCAGGCACTTGGACATTTGCTAAAGAGGATGGCTCTACTAGATAGTTAAGGAAACCTCAATGATTCTTCTGCCTTAAAACAATCTTAAGATGAAGAAAGGGTCAAATCATAGTAAAAATAATAGAACATGTGAGTGAAACTATTTTCACCCAATAATCTAGATGTATAAGGCAATGCACTCCAAGCAAACCAATTCTTATATATTTCAGAATCATTTGAGGAAGAAATATAAGCCTTGCCTAATAGTCATCTACTCTTCTATTTACATAAGGAAGTCTAATTATAGTTACTTAGTAATAACTTTGTTTCCTCTTCTTCCTCTCTTCTACATCTCTTTTCTTTCTTCTTTTCTCTCCTGCCCCCTTCTCCTCCTCCTCCCTCTACGTATTAATTTCAAGCCTTGGAATAATAAAGTAAGAGTAGATTAAGTTTGGGTGGTGCAACTTAATTCAAGTAAAAGATAAAGATAATGTTCATTTAAATCTATTGTTAGAATTCTGTAAGTCATAAAGTCAAGTTAAACGAGAAAGACATGTCAGTCATACTTCACTATTATTGTCTGCCTTGGTTCTTGTATTCTTTCTTGAATCTTTCTATGAAAACACATATAAGCATAGAGTACGTAGCTATTCTCTCACAAATTTCCACATGTTCTTGCTTTTATGAAGGAGAATTTCAATTGCTCTGAGTATGGAAATGGATCTTGCCCAGAAAATGAAAGGTCCTTGGTAATTCGAGCTGCCATGTATTCGTTTATGGCAGGAGCAATATTCATCACAGTCTTTGGCAATCTGGCCATGATCGTTTCCATTTCCTACTTCAAACAGCTTCACACACCAACCAACTTCCTCATCCTCTCCATGGCAGTCACTGACTTCCTCCTGGGATTCACCATCATGCCATATAGTATGGTCAGATCTGTGGAGAACTGCTGGTATTTTGGGCTTACATTTTGCAAGATCCACTATAGTTTTGACCTGATGCTTAGCATAACGTCCATCTTCCATCTTTGCTCAGTGGCCATTGATAGATTTTATGCCATCTGTTGCCCTTTACATTACTCTACCAAAATGACTATTTCAGTTATAAAGCGGTTGCTGCTGGTCTGCTGGTCTGTCCCTGGAGCATTTGCCTTTGGTGTGGTCTTCTCTGAGGCCTATGCTGATGGAATTGAAGGCTATGACATCTTGGTTGCGTGTTCCAGCTCCTGCCCAGTCATGTTCAATAAGCTATGGGGCACTACTTTGTTTGTGGCAGGTTTCTTTACTCCTAGCTCTATGATGATAGGGATTTATGGAAAGATTTTTGCAGTATCCAAAAAACATGTTCGTGTAATCAATAACTTGCCAGAAAATCAAAATAATCAAATGAGGAAAGACAAAAAAGCAGCCAAAACTTTAGGAATAGTGATGGGTGTTTTCTTGTTATGCTGGTTCCCCTGTTTTTTCACAATTCTGTTAGATCCCTTTTTGAACTTCTCTACACCTGTAATCCTGTTTGATGCTTTAACATGGTTTGGGTATTTTAATTCCACATGCAATCCCTTAATTTATGGTTTCTTCTATCCCTGGTTTCGCAGAGCACTTAAATACATTTTGTTAGGTAAAATTTTCAGCTCACATTTCCATAATACTAATTTGTTTATTCAAAAAGAAACTGAATAGACTTTTTCTGTGTGAGTGAACTGAAGCATAAAGACTGGTACTTAAAAGATGAAGTTGCTTCAAAGGATTACTATTGTGGGGAGGAAAAAGACCGGAAAGATGGTTGAGAACATGGTCATGGGCATGGCAGTGGGAGAGGGAAATGTGCAGGAACAAAGCAAAATGACATGCACCCCCCCAACTGTATAATGTATATATTATAACAAATACTGTCTGTAACAAATACTGTCTAATAACAAAGTATAATGATACATCTGTGTAAAAATGAGGACTGTGCATAATGTGCATTACTTCATATGCTAACTTCAAAAAATAATAAAAGAAATTCAATAAAAGATATCAAAACACAGCTTAAGTGCAAAAATTAGTTCTAATTCTTTTTTTAAACCATAGCAGGGTTAAATCAGCATATGTTTCCAAATAATTAGAACAATGTGAAACGGCCAGTCTTTGAAAATGATTCATGGTTGAATAGTGGGAGGTGATTTTCACTTTGACTTGAACATTGCACACTGTACACGTGTGCTGAATGTGCTCCATGGGAGGTACAGATAGTATGTCTCAGCTACAATCAGATGAAGTTCCTTAAGGGGTGTGTGTGTGTGTGTATGTGTGTGTGTGTGTGTCTGTGTGTGTGTCTGTGTGTGTGTCTGTGTGTGTGTCTGTGTGTGTGTCTGTGTGTGTGTCTGTGTGTGTGTCTGTGTGTGTGTCTGTGTGTGTGTCTGTGTGTGTGTCTGTGTGTGTGTCTGTGTGTGTGTCTGTGTGTGTGTCTGTGTGTGTGTCTGTGTGTGTGTCTGTGTGTGTGTCTGTGTGTGTGTCTGTGTGTGTGTCTGTGTGTGTGTCTGTGTGTGTGTCTGTGTGTGTGTCTGTGTGTGTGTCTGTGTGTGTGTCTGTGTGTGTGTCTGTGTGTGTGTCTGTGTGTGTGTCTGTGTGTGTGTCTGTGTGTGTGTCTGTGTGTGTGTCTGTGTGTGTGTCTGTGTGTGTGTCTGTGTGTGTGTCTGTGTGTGTGTCTGTGTGTGTGTCTGTGTGTGTGTCTGTGTGTGTGTCTGTGTGTGTGTCTGTGTGTGTGTCTGTGTGTGTGTCTGTGTGTGTGTCTGTGTGTGTGTCTGTGTGTGTGTCTGTGTGTGTGTCTGTGTGTGTGTCTGTGTGTGTGTCTGTGTGTGTGTCTGTGTGTGTGTCTGTGTGTGTGTCTGTGTGTGTGTCTGTGTGTGTGTCTGTGTGTGTGTCTGTGTGTGTGTCTGTGTGTGTGTCTGTGTGTGTGTCTGTGTGTGTGTCTGTGTGTGTGTCTGTGTGTGTGTCTGTGTGTGTGTCTGTGTGTGTGTCTGTGTGTGTGTCTGTGTGTGTGTCTGTGTGTGTGTCTGTGTGTGTGTCTGTGTGTGTGTCTGTGTGTGTGTCTGTGTGTGTGTCTGTGTGTGTGTCTGTGTGTGTGTCTGTGTGTGTGTCTGTGTGTGTGTCTGTGTGTGTGTCTGTGTGTGTGTCTGTGTGTGTGTCTGTGTGTGTG